TGAAGTAGCAAGTAAATAAACAACAGTGGCTTTTTACCAGAACCACACGAGTCTGCACTCAAGGCATCTTATGTCGTTGCACTTCAGCTCACAAGAAATTATTTTTGATTTTCTTCAACTAATCACATTGACTGACTATGCAAAGCAGCAAGTTCATAAACAACACACACCAGCTTTTTACCAGAACCACACAGGAGTCTGCACTCAAGGTGTATTTTGTCCTTCTCTTCAGCTCACTAAAATAAGTGTTTATTTTTGTCTGCGTCAAAYATTTTATATTAATTTTTATTAAACAAGACTACAACTATACAGTTCATGCATCTGCCCATGAAACACTGTATGTTAAGTTACTGCACTGTATGTTGGTTTAATAAATATATGTGTATACACAATGTCAAAATAAGGTGAGATCAATCCATGGCCTTGCTGTGATCATCTTAATTTTTGTTCATGTGTTCTTGTTAAAAAGGATGATTTTCTTAGAATATGTTCTGATTAACTATTGTAAAAACAATTCGATAAAACTTGATTGCAAAAAAAGCAAGACTGAGGGGCTAAAAACTGAAGACTATTCAGAAGAAAACCCAGAAGAACTGAAGAGGAAATATCAGAAGAAAACTGAAGAAGAAAGCCCAGAACTGAAGAGGAAATCTCTGAAGAACAACTGAAGTGAATCCCAGAAGAATCAGGATGGACTCGGTTATCTAGGCGGATAGATTAAAAAAAGTAGAAAGATCAGTCAACAATAAATTGTCTTTTTAAAGGGGTTCCACCACAAACCTACCTGAAGACTGAATTTTCAATTAAGAAAGATTTTATTGAAGAATATCTTGCCTAAGAAAGCCTTAGGTAGTGAACATTCAAACCTGTCTGATCTAAACAACCATTTAATTTATTAACCACAGCCTGAAGATTTAGGGAAAGATGAAACTAATAATACGACTCATCCTGATTATTTTATTTCYTTTTTAATTTGCTAATTTTATGCTTGGCTGTAACCCGCATCTGCAGAGCTAATAAATGCAAGCAAGAAGAAATTTCTGAGACAAATTGTGGACATTCGATTTTTGGATTCATGTTTAAATGAATCTTTTCACAAGTGTTGAAGAGGTGCACAGTCTGAGTTCTAACATCAAATTAAAGGATTCTTATCGGTTGCCTTAGCCCAATAATTACTAAGAAAACACCCAAGGCTACTCGTGTGGGTCATTCAGTTGGATGAAGAAGGGCGTGACACCTGGAAGAATGTACCTAGAAGCCGGACAAACTCTCTTTGCCATCCACTTAAAATGACTTCCTCATCAGCTGCTCAGTGTTTGAAGAAGTTTGGACCCTTATAGACTGAGAGTGGGTATAGGGGTATTCCTTAACCAGACAGGTAACGAGGGATGCCTCTAGGGACGAAAACAACAAACAATTTTCAAATRGCAGTTTTATTACATTTGGGTAAGTACATGGCCCTCTGGTAGGGTTACCAAAAAGTTGTGGCCCATTCCCTTATTTAAGCTGTCCACCCTTGTAGAAGCTGGCTCCACTGGGGAAGAATTGGAAAAAAAAGGTTTCAATGTGAAGAGAATCAGGACAAAGCTATGTTTTATTTTGTTTAATTATATTTATTTTTCCACAAGACGCTCTCCTGCATCCTCTCTGTATTCTCACCCTGGCATGCCACACTCTCTGATCTCTACAGGATGMAGCTACACACTAGAAGATCACAGCATGGCAGCACAATGCTACAAAAAAGTTGCATTACGTTTGCTCTAAGTGGTCCATGACCTTGTCACTGTCATGGTTATAGCCATCCCATGAGCTTAAGACCAGTCCTGATTAGAATTCTAATGATCACCAAGCCATGCCTGTGTTTGCACGGGCTAAAGACAAAGATATTCTGGTATCAGTAGGCACTGTGTGATCACTGTTGTTACACTTTGCAGTTTTTTTCTTGCCAGATTGTGTCAGGCCAACTGCGTTTATGTGTTGGAGAGCATTCTTTCTTAGCCAGAGGAAAGAGGCCTGAGGGATAAATAAAYCACAAATTCATTCTCTTAGCAGATATTAGAACATTACAATGTGCCAACCAAAAATGCTTTTAGATTTACGTGTGTTTTTGCAGTTGTATACAGTAAATGTGACACTTGTCCAAAGAATAGCTGTCATTGTGAACAAGCAGAAATACCAGTTGATGAAAACCAACAGAGACAGTCAGACAAAAAGTGTAAAATGGAAAGAATGACTCCYGTTTCATTTCCTGAAGGCAAAAGATGGAAATGTTTCTTCTCTTTTTTACTGCCTGGATTTGAAGCAGCAGAAAACAGACTCCCACACTGTGGCCCATTGGAGAGTTGGTGCTGGCAGATTCCCTTAAGGTGTTCTTATGTCATAAAGAAATGTCTCAGGTGTCCYGAAACGAGGCAGAGAATAATCAAATGCACTGGGCCACTGATAGTTTCTCCACAAATGGTGAATATTACAGCTCAAGTAAAATTAYCTTGGGGTTGTTACAGTATTCTGATCATTCCCAGAAGCATTTTAAAAGTGTGCACTTTGGTAACATGTTTTCAGCTTCATTAGTATGGAAAAATCAGCACTGCCATGCAKAGCATGGGAACAGTGTTGAAGGCTGACACATATTCTGTTCTCGCAGCTGCTCCTGATGAGCATCAATCAAGAAGTTACCAAAAGAATTAGCTACTTTTTACAAACTGGTCACTAAAAAAGATAGGATTTTATGTTTTTCTGTACTATGGCAAACTAAGATGTTACTTTGAATTTATTATTTAAAGAACTTCTCCTTTGATTATCAGTTCCCCCAACTTACCATAAGCTGTCTTCAGAATTCAACAATTGGCTAAGATTAATTATCACAGCTGCTTTCTGTTAAATTACAATCTTCACCTGCACAAGATGGTCAGCAGATGAAGCAAATATATATA